TCGCGCCATCTCGCGAGTCGCAGGAAACGTGATGAGGCTTTCTCGCTTCTTTATGAATATTGATAAATCTCCCAGCTCGCAGTATTCCATAATGAGGTTGATGTGGGTCGTGGACTCGATGCAGTCATGAAGGGCGACGATGTGTGGGTGTCGTAAATTCTTGAGGATCTTAATCTCGCTATAGAGATTCTCCTTCAGCTTCTTGTTTAGCCGCGCGAGCTCGACAGATTTGATCGCGACCAAAGCGCCGGATACCTGTGCCATTTCCATTAGCTTAACTGCCACCCTTCAGTATGACTCACGGTCATGTTTAGGAACTGTGCGGCCGGCGCTACATTGATTCTATCTAAGTGTATCAAAAGAGCGCCGAGCCGCCTCTCTACGAAGGGTGCAAATATATCATGATAGGGCGTATGGTTGGACATAGCCTTTTGGAGATACGAACCTTGTGCTTACCCATATATACCTGGGCGAAGCTACCTTTACCTATCTCGGAACCAATGATGAACTGACCAATATCAGCATTTCGAGCCCGACGAGTTGTCGAGCTCGAATGTATTCGAGGGTCAGCCATGGCTCCCTGTGTAGGTTGACTTATGACAGGAAGCTTGGTTAATGCAGCCCGGGGGCTTATATGGGAATCGGGATGAAGTCCGTGGCTCGAGTTATCGTCATGTACACATACAGGTTAGATGCGAACGAATGGGACTGTATTTCGTCGATAGAAAGGGGGGAGGATAAAGATGCCACGAGGCAAAGGCGTTGAGGAAATCGAAAAGAAGAAGCCGGTTGGAAGATTCGCGTGTCTCTGAACCAAGGCTTAGGTAGGTCAGTTGAGACTTGGGACGTCAAAGTGGATGTAAATGATGTACTCCGTAGAGGCAGGGTATCCGATAGGTCGGCCGGCGGAGAATCGAGGCCCTTGGGAATAGGAACCTTGAAAGGCGGGGATGTGTCCGTGTCTGTGTCACCTCGAATGACAGACACAGGAAGATTTAGGCCACAAGGGTTACAGCGATGGAGAGATCTTGTGTCTCGTTCGTGTCTATTGATAACCAGACAAAAACGCTGCTAGTTATCCCAAGTGTTGAACTGGGGGGGTGTGGCAAGAAGAGGCAACCGTTGAAGGAGAAGAGGCAGAAGCAGATCTGATGTAGGTCTACAAAGTAGGGTTACCAGAATAGGTATAATACAAGAACCTGACGTATGAAACCGTAGGCAGGCTGTAGCTGTTATGTAGGTACCTTGTGAGCTGGACAGGGGGGGGATAGGGATGTATGTGCAAGAAGGTTGCAAGGAAGTGATCAATGATAGCTGCGAAGGGCTCGCGAGCGGTAGCTACCTAAAGCTTGCAGTTCCGGTACGGGATAGGATGGATAAGAATAAGTACCTAGCTTTTCTCTAGGCTTACTCGAGGGTTTTGGGGGGGGGAGTAGTCCCGTTTGGATTGACCGAAAATCAAGTGAATGACTCGGTCTGCATTAATATGTACTTGTACTCCAAGCTGCGCGTATATGTCTCTGTTTTATGTTTGTGACTCTTCTTGTCCTTTATTGATAACTTGATAAGGTTGATGACGGGAGTGATGTTATTTAAATAAGTACAGGTTCAGGTTCGTGTATATGACACAATCCGCTTCTTTTTTTTGTTTCTTTTCTTTTTTTTCTGACTGGGGTTCAGAAGATCAATAATAAGGGAATTGAACGGGGTTTAGATAAATGTGCGATAAGGGCGAATTAAATGGTAGAATGATAACTTAAGGATATAAGAAAAAGAGTAATTCCTTAGTTATTAAATGGGTAAGGGGAGGGAAATATTATGAAAGTGAAGAAGAAGGTAACAGAAAGGACCAGAGGGAGAAGGTCAAGTAAGAGACGAGGCGAGGAGAGGCGAGGAGAGACGAGGAGAGGCGATCTGATCAAAAGTTGCTCACGGGACGAAGGGGAACGAGGGACGAGCAGGCAGGTAAGGTACTATTATTTTAGTAAAAGTAAAGTAGAACTTGCGACATGCGATGGTGAACAATGAAGATCAGACTCGTCACCCGTGACTCTTTAGCATGATAACATTGATAAGGCACAGAAGCATTGACACTGCAAATCAAATCTAGAAGCCGATTCCGCTAAGCCTAGACCCACTTACTTCCCACCGTTTATTTAGACCATCTAACGAATGAAACGGCGAGTAGCCTTGCTAATAGATGCTGGTAGATGCTGGTACCTGTTGTACTCGAGGCGCTAAATTCTTAGGTGCTAGGTGCTAAGCATTGTGCTATGGTGCTGAGTAGGTATACGAAGTATGTACCTGGGTAACAGAGGTACGATGGTGATGGTATTATGGATGTAGGTATTGTAGGTACATGTATCATTGTACCTAGATGCTGGGACATGGTAGACATGGCTGACATGGATTATAAAGTGGGACTTTGCTCTCTTCTCCATTCTCTCCCCCGTTCAATTGTTCTTAGTGCACGCGTTGTAGTATCCACTTGTAGTATCCACTTGTCATTGATCATCGTTCCAAACTTAACTATTTCCTTTGATTCTTCCGAGTCCCATCTGGGGAAGGCGGTCTGTCACTCCAGTATTGTTTGCATCTTCTTAAGAGGATCATGTTAAGAAGAATAAAAACCTAGGATATAATAATTGTTGGCACATGTATAAAAAAGGGGACTGTCTACCTATTGGTTCGTATTGATTCGTTTAGTCAGCTCAAAGCGGGTGTTTGGTGCGTGTAAGTGCTTTGGCGTCGTTTTGCATGTCTCTTTTTACCTCCTTATTATTACTTCTTTGTAGATCCGAGGCCAAGTCGCAAACAACTATACGCATTGCATCATCAATTGTCGACCGCTTATTTCCCGATTGCTTTTGTATCTTATAACTAAACCTAGGTGAAATGCTTATGAGCTTATTTTCCGTCATTCTTTGCAAATACCACTCTACCGTTTGATCACTCGATGAGGCTCAGCCAGGGAATATGATGCTTGTAAACACAATCATGAGGTGATGGACAATATTTGACTGACCTTGGGCCAAAGGAAAAAAAAAAAAAGAACAACTCGAGCTATGTATGCGTGTCACAGATAGTGGCTTATGAGAAGCATCAATGTTTGGTCACAAGGGTTTCCCAATTTAATGGTGCTCGTCTGTAAGGTTGGCGCTTATACCGTAGGACAAAGCAACGTTCGTTTTGGATATGAATATGGATATGGATAAGGATAAGGTACCTAAGGTATAATAAATCAATTGAATTGATAAGGACCCTGAAAAAGGCGGCTCATCCGTCTTTTTCCTATCTGTTCCGCGACCGGGATCCGACTTTGGTCCAGTATCGGAATTACATTAGAGACCTAATTATTATCTCTTCTCTTATCAGCGATCGCAATGCATAGTATTCCGCGACGCCCGCGATGTCCGCAATGCCCGTGTTGCTCACGCTAAGGTTGATGAGTTGTCTTTAAGTCTTGAGCTTTTGTTTCGATTCGTCAGAGATAATCGTTTGTGCATACTTCCACAAGTTTTATCATCACTAACTACCGACTCTACCAACATATTCTACACACCTACTTTATTCTTGACTACTTATATTATCGCCTAGGCAATGCTACGCATGCTGCTTCAAAGCTCCAGAGCTCCAAAGCTCATTTCCAGGTAGATTAATTATGTAGTCGTCTCTGCAATGGGCTGTATGCAACTTCGTCCATCTCTCATGTCGGTCTTAGGCAGGCCGAAGCTACACGTACTCGATTCTTGTGGGAACCCCCCCTGGCGGTATGCACGTCTTTTCGATCCGAGGACAAATCGGAAACCCGAAAGCCATTCTTTTCCATCATTTGTTTACCACTTGGTCGAATTTAACATGCTTAGGTTTCGAGTTTCGAGTTTGGCGCTCACTTTAAGGTCCTGTTCCTGACTTACCCGATGGAAGGTAATTTTAATAATAAATAGTTTACAGGGTGTGTATCCCATTACGAATTCGATGAAACTACCTGACTGCCTCACTACCTCATATAGAGAGTAAGCCGGACAAAAGCAAATAATGATTCAGACCCCAACTAGCTACTATACCTTTTTAAATAGATCCAATGGCAAGCGGTAGACCCCTTACTAAATTAGTATGCATAGAAGATACAGATACATGTAGGTATATGTAGTAGACTAATGCCGAGCTTTCGAGTTGCCAAAGATCGAATCGAAAGCCATCCAAAACATCCAAAGCTCAAAATGTATCATGCAGGATAGCTGCAGCCCCCGGGCCACATGAATTGTGAGACACGTCTACTGCATTAAGCTAAAGCACATGTACATAACGTAGGACTTAGTTGAGCTGGCTAGTCTGCGGCCAAGCTGTCACTACACAATCACTCTAGTGAAATGGTCATACAATAGGAGCAATAGGAGATGCAAAGACGAAAGACGGGAAAACGCTCAAGTCTGCCTCGTATCAGCTGCTCCATTAACAGTAATTTTCTATGCTTCCCACCAAACCACCGTTACCCACACCATGCACATTGCCGCATAGGGCCCCCGCATTGCCGACTTAGAACCAGGGAACAGATAAACCCGCCTTCTAGCGCAACACAATCCTTTTAGTCGCGAGTGATCCCTGTAAACCTGTGCTCTAGCAGTCTAGGTACCCCATGAGGTAGGAAATCTATGATAGCTCTCCGTATACATAGTAGTGTAGGTATGTAGTAGGCAAAGAAACAAACCTTGCCGGGTATATTGTATAGGTTTGACAGGGTTGTAAGGGTTGTAAGGGTAGTACTCGTGTGTAGGACACCACCCTAATCATCTTCACCGTTTACTATGTAGGTAGGTGGTCTCGCACCATCTTACCACCCTTTTTCCACTTGTATTCGACGCAGTACGCCTTGCTAACGAGCGGTCATCGAGTCTACGTCCCAATCTAGATGCACAATCCTATCCCGTCCCATTACTTCATACGGGCCAGAATGGCGGGGTGTCGGTAGTGAGGTAGTGATGATGCGCCGCAAGAAATTAATTCTCCAGTCCGACGTGGACGTCCTCATGTTTCTTCATCTTTGGTAGCTCCTGCAGCGCATCGCCAATAATGGATATGGCCTTTTGAAGCTGCGCTTCCGAAATAACCAACGGCGGTGCGAACCGGATGATGTTCCCATGTGTCGGTTTAGCCTGATTTCCGAGTTAGCCATGTGCTTGCACTGTGTTGCAAAAAATTGAAGATGAACGTCTGCTACGGAACTTACCAGAAGACCCTTCTCCTTGAGAAGAAGACATAGGTCCCAAGCCGAATGGCCATTGGCCTTCGATTCGTCGATGACGACAGCATTTAGTAGTCCCTTTCCACGGATTGTCTTGATAACTGGCGAATTAAACGACGCTAGACCGTCGCGGAAGATATTACCAAGCTTCTCAGCCTTTTGGGTGAGCTGCTCCTCTTCCATGAGCTCAAGAGCACGTATAGAGACAGCGCAGCCTAATGGGTTTCCGCCGTACGTCGAGCCATGAGTTCCAGGCTCGACGACAAGCATGATCTCTTTACTACTGAGGACGCAACTGACGGGATACATGCCACCAGAGATAGCTTTCCCCAAAGTAATCATGTCCGGCTTGATGCCAGCCCACTCAGAACACAGCATCCGACCCGTGCGACCGATACCCGTCTGGATCTCATCACAGATCAAGAGCACATTATGTTTCTTGCAAAGCGCTTGCACTTTGCTCAAATAATCCTCGTCGGGAACCACTACACCCGCCTCTCCCTGAATAGGCTCGACAATGAATGCAGCAGTCTCACGCCCGTGAGTCTCAAGCAACTCCTCCAAATCGGCCACGTTGTTATACCGAATAGGCTTACCAGTGGAGGGGGATATAGCCCCGATGTTTGGCACGTATGGCCCGTAGTTATCCTTGGACTCTGGGTCGGTGGATAGAGTCACCGCCGTCATCTACCTATGACGTTAGCAAAATAAAAATAAAATAAAAATAAAAATAAGAGCGACCCCCACATGCGGGACTACCTACCGTGCGACCATGGAAATTTTCCTCGGCGCCGAACACTAATGCCTTGCCCTGGGGAACACCCTTGACTTTATAGGCCCATTTTCTTGCAATCTTGATAGCCGTTTCTACAGCCTCCGCTCCCGTGTTCATCGGCAGGACCATGTCGTACCCGAACATCGCTTGCACCTTTTCCGCCCATTTGGGAAACACGTCATTGTGAAATGCCCTGGAGCTCAAGGTCAATCTTCCAGCCTGTTCAGTGAGAGCTTTCACTAGTTCTGGGTGGCAATGGCCTTGATTCACGGCGCTGTATGCTGAGAGGAAATCGATGTAGTGCTTGCCTTCAGGATCCCACACATCGGCACCCTGCGCGCGAGCGAAGACGACAGGGAGCGGATGATAGTTGTGGGCGGCGTATTGATTCTCTGCCTGAATTGCAGCCTTGGTCGAAGACGAATGATATCTAGACGAGACTGTCGAGCCATTCGAGCCATTCGAGTCATTGCCCAAGCGGGTAGTCGGAGCATCTGCGTGAGGAGACATGGCTGTTTAAGGTATAAGAAGAAAGGTGATAAAGAAGCAAAATCGTTGAAAAAGGGACAATACTTGTTTTGTCTCTTGAAGAAATACTTGGTCAGAAGTCAAATCTATTACTGAAATATAGTATTGGCTTGAAAGGGTATTCTCGGTTCTTGTAGAAAGAAGCTAAAAGTCAAAAGAGAAAAGCCAAGAACTTAAAGATAGGAAAGAGATAAAAAATAATGGTAAGGCGGGGGCGAGTTGGTAGTCAAGAGAGTTATGGTACGTAATAAGGAAGCGCGGACTGAGAGCCACTAAACCCCTAAGTGCAAGTCGAAGCGGCTCGCCCAGTCGCGGCTGCTGGTTGCTGCGATGATGACAAGTTTGGACGGGAAAGAAGTCTTAACTTGGTCACATGCGGTGAAGATTCCGGTGTCCGTTGCCGAAGCAAAGCGGCGTTGACAAGGACAAGGACTAATAGCTAGGACTAGAACTTGGAATATTGGTTTTGTTGTTGTTGTTATTTTTTTTCTACTATTTTAACCGTTTAATCTTTGAAGCTAGGGAAAGGGGGGTGTTGCTATGTATTTCGGTGGTATTTTCGTCATTGAAGAAAAAACTGAAAATATTTTTAGTTTAACTAAAAGAAAAAAAAAAGCCATTACTCGCACAAGAACTGCAAGACCCCGGGTATACTACAGCAATTGACATTATGACACAAACGGCTGCAGTAAGAAAGTGACCGCCGAGCCCGGAGAGGTTACGGATGGCCGAACAATCTCAAATCGGAGGCCAATCAGAAGTGGTTTATTTTCAAGATAGCCAATGGTAATTCATAGTATTTTGTTCGTGGGGGTGGTATCCGACGCTGCTGCATCATCCCTTGCCTTGGCGGCGAAATGTGAAATGTGAAGTTATTTATTTAATGAATTACTATTAGATCGGATGAAGTATGCTCTTATCGAATCATACGACTATTGAAGCAAGCCTCAAATACGCAGCTGTAGTCAGCTGTCTGCGCTAAGCTATGTTCATATGTAATTTGAAATGTCTTTAGGCTAGGTACATCAATACATGTACATAAGGTAAGGCAAGGTGCATAATCTAATGCACAGCTTAGCGTATCTTCTCTCCTAATGTTATCTACACATATGTCTCGATACGGACAGCTCCGAGAAATCCAAATCTGGATTAACAATTGCCAATTGCTGCTAGATCACATCAAATGCCAGGTAGCCTCAACTCACCTAGGTATTTGCCTATATTTTATATTCTTAGTTCTCAATTCTAAATTCTCACCATCTCTTAAAATTCAGTCATGTGAAATGGATACATAAGATATAAGACTCACGAGACTTGAAGATGAGTTCAGGGAAGAAAAAGACAAACGCTGAAGCGTCTAGCGCTACACAGAATACTACCAAGAATAACGAAACTGTTGTAGCCGCTGTCCAAACCCGAGATGCTCTAGCGGTCATATTTGCCATTCGTTTCATAAATGCGCTTTGCGTCCGTACCTTCTTTCAGCCAGACGAATATTTCCAAGCTCTCGAACCAGCTTGGAACTTGGTATTCGGGGAAGATAGCGGAGCATGGTTGACCTGGGTGTGTAGCTTTCAGATAGTCCCCCTTTTCGAATTATCCCTTAACAATTCATGTTATTTCTAATACATTAAAAAAGGAATGGAAGCATCAGCTTCGATCATCTATTCACCCTACTATATTTGCCTTGGGATATTGGATCGTCCAGAACTTCGAAGGGTCAGGGATGGCTTCAGAAACTAAAGCTAAATGGCTCCTTGCAGCGCCTAAGGTCTTACAAACTGGGTTTGCTGCCTTGAGCGATTGGTATTCGTGGAGGCTTGCGGAGAGATTATACGGTCGTGGGAGTGCTGCTGCCTGGTCCGTTGTAAGTACTCCAATCTTTTCAGAATTATCTATTACAAAGGTGACTCATAATCATACGTAGCTGTTGATGGCATTGGTCAACCCCTGGCAATGGTATACATCGACAAGGACTTTCTCGAACTGCTTTGAGACAACCTTGACGGCTGCTGCTCTCTATTATTGGCCCTGGCAACTTCTAGGTACGGAAGATGACGGAAATGCCGAGTCCAAGTATTCATCGACTCCCCTCTTCGAGACCTGGGGTCAGATTAACAAGTAAGTTTACAGTTCTGAGAAATAAGGCTTCTGTACTAAAATGCAACCATGTAGTCTTCGATTATCCCTGATACTAGCCGCATTCGCTGTTCTCTTGCGGCCAACCAATGTTTTGATATGGGTGGCTATTGGTACCCTCGCACTGACCAGAGCTACACTCGGTGGAAAATCACCACTTACTCTAAGAAACGTCCTTATCATCTATAGAGAGGTGGTCTTTTGCGGGTACGTAAACGACACCGTGCCATATATTTTCCCGTGATATCTAACCATTATAGGTCATTCGTTCTTGGATTATCTTTAGTAGCTGACCGTCTGTACTACGGAGAGTGGACATTTCCCCCCTTAACATTCTTACATTTCAATGTTGCCCAGGACCTCGCTAGCTTCTATGGACAGAATGATTGGCATTACTATCTTTCCCAGGGCATACCGTTGCTGGGTACTACGATAACCCCGTTTATCCTACAAGGCTTATACAAGTCTCTAGACTCAGAGAACTCAAGCTGGCCGGTAGCGACTTCTAACGCCTTAAAGGCATTATCCTTCGTGGTCTTCACAAACATATCTGCCTTATCGTTTGTTTCCCATAAGGAAGTTCGCTTCATTACGCCTCTTCTTCCAGCGTTCCATATTTTGGCTGCACCCTATATTACGTCCTTTTTCACCACATCAACAAATGCTGCCTCTGCTAGCTCAACGCCAACGTTGGGATGGAAGCGGACACCTTTACTTCTAGGAGGTCTACTTATCAATATCATCATTGGTGGCTACCTCTCCTATTTCCATGCTGCCGCACCTATCAAGGTAGTAGACTACCTGCGTAACGAATTCGAAAGCATTCACCCCAAGCACCTTTCAATCCCGCAACCGGCAAACATCACCGTAGACGATGACTTCTCGCAAGAGCTCTTCGCACTTTTTCTGACTCCTTGCCACGCTACGCCGTGGCGTTCTCATCTTGTCTATCCGGCTCTGCGCGCACGTGCTCTAACCTGCGAGCCCCCTCTACATACCTCACCGAAGTCCCTACAGCGCCAGATATATAAGGATGAGACGCGTCGCTTCTACGCGGACAAAGTCGGTTTCCTGGAGGAGCTGTGGCCTGCAGATGGTCCCGGTGAGGACATGGCAAGATATATTGTCGGGTACGAGGGTATCAGTTCTGCGCTACACGAATACTTTGACTTTTCGGGTCCCGGCCGCCGACATAAGGTCGAGCTGACGCGAGTGTGGGATTCGTGGAATGGACTGTTCACGGATGATGATAGGAAATCAGGACGCTTGGTGGTGTGGGCTACGGGCTATTACGATAAGGTGTTACCTGTAGAGCCATAAGTTGAATAACTTACTGGATGTGATTTAACAGGCTGGATTAGGTATCTAGGGTCGGTGAACTGTACATTATAAAATCTTGATATCGGACGGAATTTACGCGTTGCAACCTGAATGGCATACCACTATTCTTTACTTATAGCCTAGGACATAACACTTTTATACTCATACGCGAATTAGTAAGACCACTACTGCGCGACGTCCCAATTGATATTATGACTTACGACTCGGAATATAATCAATCCAAGCCTGAAGACTACAAGTGATCTCATCATTTACCCTCAACTCAAGACCGAGGAATTAGACCTAGATTTCTAACAAGCAGGGCTAGAAAACAAGCAAGTAGCAACGATCACAATCAATACCAACACACGTACGCACTAATTTTACAAGATATAGCACATCAAGTCGAGGTTCATTGAGTTGTCTAATGCCACTGAACAAGCTACATTGGGTACCTAAGGTAATCAACAAAGTTGGCTGATCGTTCTGAATGCACACTACGGCAGGACCTTTAGATTACAGGTCAATGGAACCCAAGTCTAGTAGCTAACCACTGAATCAGATTAGTGTCCGGGTGGTAGCATCTATGCCAAATATGTATATGCGCCTCCTTCTCGTTCGAGGTAATCCTTCTCGATGAGTCTAGTGGGACGTTAGCCTCAAATCCAGCAATATGTATGCTTAGACAACTTACTTCTCGATATTCTTCTTAATTTCGGCCGGCTCAATAGCGCCTCGGCTCTTGGTCTGGTTGATTACCTCCGCGACGAGGTTGGCGTGGGTCATGGTCTTGCGGCTCTTCATGATTCTCACAATCGCGGCCTGACACTCAAACTGTCTATCCTGTGCGACCCGCTCGTGGGTCTCTTGGTTCTCCTCTTTCGTCTCCTTGAGTTGAATCTGGTTAATCTTCACGCGATATTTAGGGTCTGAGAAAGCCTTGTTGACGGTGAAAGTATCTGTCGGGTTCACATCTCTCCCTTTTGGCTGCTTCGTGAGAACGCGGGTTTTCCCGCACGCTAAAGACTGCAAGGTACGATCGAGATCTGGCCCACTCAGGCCAGTATTCTCTGCAATCTGCTGGTAGGCTAGGAGTCCATCCGGCTTATCCTCAATTTGGTTGAATAGCGTCAACACGACAGCTTGATATGCGCTGACTAGTAATTCCTTTGGTCCCTTCCCGAAGCGTGCCTTAACAACGCAATGACCAAGTGAATGCTTCCACGTAAGACGCCTTCCTGTGTGTTTGTTGGTATAGTATGCTTCAAAGCGCTCGACTTGCACTGCAACATCGTCAGGTAGAATAAGCTGAGTATCTGGATATGTTGGCCATGCTGCGGCAGACAGGATATTCACGTTAAGATCTAAGCTGCTCTTGCCGTGTCCGGTTCCCTCGCACCAGGATTTATACGAAGTCATCTCGTCCCGTGCGATCTGCTGATCCTTGAACATTTGCTCCAAGTTGTGAGTGAAGTTGGAACCACACTCGTTCTTCAACTTTGCAAGCATGCTCCTCTCCGCATCTGCGCTGGCACTGCGGCCCATTAAGAGGCGTCGTGCCAAATCTTGCTTATAAAACGCTTCGAAGACATCTTTGCCCTCAATAAATCGGAACAACTCCAGGGCTTGGTCTAACTGCCTGTCTAATTCGGCATCCTCGTCGCCGGTACTCGCTAGTCCGCTTTGTTCGGCATCGATACGGTCTTGGGCATCAGAGAGCAGTGATTTGGGCAGAGTTTTCAAGCCACCCCTGAGCAACATGTCAATATACTTTGCAATCATCTCACCAACCTTGGAAGTTCCAGTCTTCCAGGCAGATAGAACTTTCCGATCGTTGATGAAGCTACCAAATGCCTGTCGCATACTGTAAGTAAATTCGTCGTCTCTATTAAAAGCGTCTCGAATCATCAGATCTAAAGATCGTCTGAACTCGAGTAATCGGATGACCATTTCATCGCCCCTAGAAGTATCGTTAACGATCGTTGCGCCTGCTTCCCTGATGTATTCTTCCCATGGCTGTCTTAGCCTCTTCTGTATGCCAGATAACCGCAAGAGGTCATATAGAGCCTTCATAGAATCCAGAGCATTCTCATCTAGGAGCTTGCTAATGCTGCCACCATCAAGGAGTTTTTCGGAATAGTTATCAATCAGAATCGTATGGGCATCATCCATTAATTGCCTCTTCGTAGTACTGTCGAAGTTGTATGCGTTGCAACGGTAATCCTCACGCGCAATAAGCTTCTCGCAGCTAGAAATATAAAATTTAAGGGATGCGCTGCTTTGCTCGTTGGCGAACTCCTCGAAATATTTCTTGGACGCCTCTAAGAAACGTCGCTCGAATGATTTCCCATAGATGTTCAGGATATGGAGCATCGAAATAGAATCTCGTAGCAGAGCTGGATCAAACCGGGTATCGGCTCTCCGATCATAGTCTACCAGATCACACATCCCAGCGAGCGTCTTAGCACCTGGGCTGGGACTTAGCGGTTGCGAAGCAACAAATACCGTTCTCCTAAATAGCGTTATGGCCATATCATTAATCTGTTGGAACTCTTTGCTGCTTAGTAAAAATGATCGATCGAGGTAGCTGAATACGGAACGAATTGTGGTCTAGATATATACATCATATCAGCTCTCGAAGAATTTTCACCATGATATGGGAATACTTACAGATTGAGCGTTCCATATGACCCAGTGTTTGTATGTACTTTTTAACACATCAATGTTAGAGGAACCGGCTTCTGCCACTATGGATCTTTGAAGATCATTCTTCAAATAGATCTCGCATCTTTCCCGTAACGTCTCATACAGTTCTCTAGATGCTCCATGTCTACATAGATCTTCTACCCCTCGATAAAGTCTTTCGAGTGGTTGGCGGGGTTGCTTCTGCTCGAATATGGCTTGAAGAGCTTCTAGTAACTCTTTTCTCGTGGCATCATAATATTTCTCAAGGTCATTATTTCGTGATGTCGTTCGTAGATTCTTGATGACAAGCTTCTTTGCACCCTTATGGGGTTGGAAAGCAGTAGGAGGCTTCGTCAGATCGACGATTTCGGGCCATTTGCCCGCCACCTTGCTCATTCTCGGAACAACTGAGTCGGATGTGCTGTTCAGTTTGGTACGCTTCTGATCGGGTCGACTTTCGGATTGTTGTCTAGAATGAGCGCCAGTGGCACCGGCTGGCTTGCGTTTCAACGGGGTCGCAAGTGAAGAGGACGATCCGTCGCGTGGCGAGCTTCCTGGCGAATGCATGGACCTGGGGAGGCCCTGCAACTACCTGAATAGTCACGCAGGCCTGGATCGGAAGGACAGGTGGGGATTATTCTTGAATCTTCAATAACGACAGGTGATGTGTCTTGGCTACTTTACAACCTTAACCTGTCGTTTAGGTATATTGTCTAAGGTAGTGTTAGAAGGAACTAAATGTGTTCAAGGTCAAGATTAAGGACCTTTATTCCGAGGTGTGTACTTACCTACGTAGTACGAACGCTATCGTGCTTATCGCGGACGGAAGCTTGCATCGCGGTACAAAGTACGGCGTGTAAGTACATAGGACAGGCGTTAACTACAGCTAATGCATTGGAACAAAGCGCCGACAGTCGGCTAAGGATTGCGGGGCTTAACTCCGTCTTGGCACACTTATCCCTTATCCGCTATGCATGAGGCTCTACATATGAATTTGACTATCAAATAAAGTGCTCCACTGTTTATGTATGTGCATGTAGTATTCCGTACTTTGAAGCTAAGAGATACAAGAGGTACTTGTTGATTGGGAGATAATATCATTTCTATGCTCAAAGGTATATTAATGTACTGATCAAGTGCATATCTTCATTTCTTTTCATGATGCAAATATTGGAAGAATAGTTAAACATTAATTATAGTTATTGTATAGTTAATTGAACGATTGGTAGTGGACATGCATCATATCTAGGTTACCTAGTTCTAGAACCCCGGTCTTGGCTCGGGTCGGAAAAGAAAACGTTAATACGTTAATACGATAGTAGCCTAACATATATGTACCTAGTTGCCTGGTAAGCAGCTAGCTTACTATTTTGTGTAGAAGCTTCCAAACTCCGATTGAAAGACCGCTACTAAGTTTTCTATCCCGACATCATCACTTATGACTTTTTTGGCGATTAGTAATACATTTAAGTAATCCCATTTAATCCATTTGCAGTCTTTTTAACTTCCGTCAAAACCACACCTTATTGCGCAATTTGGGGTCACTACCTATTCACTTATACTATGATCTTTGTCATCCGAAACTCAACTTAACGCGGTAATGCGGTTCGGTGATCATTCTCAACAGGTCCTCCAATTGACCGGGTCCTTCACGGGCTACCGGCCTATCCACGAACTCGGAAAAGGTTATCTCAGCGCGACAAAAGATTTCAAACAACCATTATGCGGTAACGAAGAAGGATGGGGTCCTATGAGTCCCTTTCGTTATGATTTTACGCCCTGTTTCATTGATGTATGGGTGTTTGCCGTTGCCATCTTCGGTATCCTCGCCGGAGCTTTGGCGGTGTGGTATGTTTTAAAGAAACGGAAGCCTGCTGAGCTTCCTAAGGATTGGCATTTCTGGTTTAAACAGGTATGTTTAAAACATGACTTGAATCTATTAGCCCTGTAGAAGAAGGGCGTTATTCTATATTTACTAATTATTCTCTATAGTCACTCCTAGTTCTCATTATCGTCGATGCCGCCGTCCAGCTCGCCATCCAGATCGTCAACTTCCCGGGAATATGGCGTGGCGATTTTCGCGTCCTTACGACGATTGCTACCCTCATCTCGCTCGGCGTCATTTTCACAATTCAATGGCTCGAACACGATCGCATGAGGAATGCTAACGGCGTCGCTCTATTCTATTGGTTACTCCTCCTAATCGCGTATGCTGTGAAGTTAAGGTCCTTAATTTCTCAGCAATTATACGACAGCAACCTTCCATACTTCGTTGCATACACTGTCGGGTTTGGCCTCTCTGCTATCGAATTCGCAATCGAATGGCTTTGGCCCAAGAAGACAAGCACGTATGAGGCATTGGTAGATGAAGAAGGAGAGGAATGTCCAGTGGAGTATGCAACTGTATTCTCTCGTCTTACTTTCTCGTGGATGACTCCATTGATGAAGCATGGATATAAACAATATCTCACGGAGGAAGATCTTTGGGGGCTCTCCCCTAACGATAAGACCTCTGCGACAGGAGATAGCTTTGAACAAGCATGGAAGTACCAATTAAAACACAAGAGCCGTCCTAGTCTATGGATAGCATTATTTCAAGCCTATGGTGGACCTTATATGCTTGCCACTGTGTTCAAAGTTGTCAATGACTTAGCAGCTTTCTCCCAGCCTCAACTTCTACGTTACCTCATTAGTTTCGTCGATTCTTATGGTGAAGGAAAGGTGCCCCAGCCACCTGTCAAGGGTGCTGCCATCGCCATTGCTATGTTCTTCGTCGCGTTGTTGCAGACCAGCATGATTGTAAGTTTTATGTAGGATAGCATAAAGTACCTTTATTAACAAGTCTTAGCACCAATACTTTCAGCTCGCCTTTGCGACAGGTATGCGTATCAAGTCGGGTCTAGCGTCTGCTATCTACAAGAAATCGTTGAAGCTCTCGAATGAGGGGCGCTCTACGAAGACAACCGGAGATATCGTCAACTATATGGCTGTCGACGCACAGCGTCTTCAAGATCTAACCCAGTTTGCGCAACAGCTCTGGTCCGCCCCCTTCCAGATTACGATTTGCATGATCTCGCTATACCAACTTGTAGGCTGGTCTATGCTTTCTGGCATTGCCGTGATGATCATTATGATTCCTATCAACGGTTTCATCGCGAGATATATGAAGCGCCTACAAAAGACTCAGATGAAGAACAAGGATGCGAGAAGCCGTCTCATTGCCGAGATTATCAACAACATGAAAAGCATTAAGCTCTATGCTTGGAGCACAGCTTTCATGAATAAACTAAACTTTGTAAGAAATGATCTCGAACTTAAGAATCTTCGTAAGATTGGTGCCGGTCAAGCATTTGCCAATTTCACCTGGTCTACAACTCCATTTCTAGTATCATGCTCAACCTTCGCCGTTTTCGTCTGGACGCACGATATTCCATTGACGACTGATATTGTGTTTCCCGCCTTGGCGCTGTTTAACCTTCTGACGTTCCCGCTTGCTATTCTCCCCATGGTCATCACCTCCATTATCGAAGCAAGCGTTGCGGTCGGCCGCCTGACGGATTATTTCATCGCAGAAGAGATCCAACCCGATGCTATCATGATTGGCCCGCCGGCGGAAGAACAGGGCGACGAGGCTGTCGTCATCCGGAATGCGACCTTCTCGTGGAATCGCCACGAGACAAAGAACGTTCTCAGAGACATCGAATTCAACAGTCGCAAAGGGGAGCTCACGTGCATAGTTGGTAGAGTTGGTTCCGGAAAGTCCTCTCTATTGCAAAGTATCTTAGGCGATCTGTGGAAGATCGAAGGTGACGTGCGCATTCAAGGTTCGATAGCATATGTCGCCCAGCAGCAGTGGATCATGAATGCAACTGTAAAGGAGAACATCATATTCGGACATCGATACGACTCCAATTTCTACGAAAAGACGATTAAGGCATGCGCATTACTTGCTGATTTCATGCAACTACCCGACGGGGATGATACTGTCGTCGGCGAGAGAGGTATCTCCTTGAGTGGTGGACAAAAGGCTCGAGTCTCTTTGGCGCGAGCGGTATACGCGCGGGCTGATATTTACCTTCTGGATGACTGCTTGTCCGCAGTAGATTCTCATGTGGGCAGACATATCATCGATAATGTACTAGGTCCAAGAGGTCTCCTCAGCTCTAAGTGCAGAATCTTGGCCACCAATGCTATCTCGGTTCTCTCCGAGGCCGATTACATATACCAACTCAAAGATGGCGAGATCGTCGAGAGCGGTACTTTTCGCCAATTGGTAGCTATGAAAGGTGGTATTGCAGAGCTCGTCAAGTCTTCCGGCCAGGAATCTGGAACGGCTTCTTCGGTATCTAGTCCTGAGGGCTCGGGAAGTGAAACCTCTACCTATATCGAGCCAGACAACAGTCAAGATAAGGAAGAGATCGAAGAAGCTCAGGAAGGTATTGCTGAACTGGCACCCATTAAAACTGGGCCTTCTACGAGCTCGGCCGCGCAGAAGCGAACAGGCAGTATGTCAACTCTGAGACGCGCAAGCGCAGCCAGCTTCAGAGGTCCCAGAGGTAAACTCAGCGACGAGGAGGATCCTAATTATAAAACCAAGCAAGTCAAAGAGCATTCGGAGCAAGGCAAAGTAAAATGGGATGGTATGCGTTCCCCGTCCGGAGACGCTTCACGTGGTATCAAATTAGAAGGCTAACTGTTAATAGTATATATGGAATACGCGAAGACTAGTAATCTAGTCGCTGTGAGTATTTACCTTTTCACTTTGATCACGGCTCAAACGGCGCAAATCGGTAAGTTCGAATCCTGCCTCTATTAGGCGGTCTTGAATTCATACGTACGATAATTGCTGACAACTGTTCAGGCGGAAGCGTCTGGCTGAAAAATTGGTCGGAGATGAACGGAAAGGCCGGTGGCAACCCCGAGGTTGGAAAATACCTCGGTATCTATTTCGCCTTTGGTGTCGGCTCTTCTGCGCTGACTGTCGTTCAAACGTTGATCCTGTGGATATTCTGCTCCATCGAAGCCTCGCGAAAACTTCACGAGAGGATGGCGACGGCCATCTTTAGGTCGCCGATGTCATTCTTTGACACTACCCCAGCAGGTCGAATTTTAAATCGTTTCTCCAGCGATATCTATAAGCTGGACGAAGTCTTGGCCAGAACCTTCAATATGCTTTTCGTAAATCTGGCTCGTTCTGGGTTCACACTGATCGTCATCTCCGTCAGCACTCCCGTCTTCGTCGCATTAATCATACCGCTGAGCTTGGTGTACTATTGGGTGCAGCGGTACTATCTCAGAACATCACGAGAACTAAAGCGATTGGATAGTGTCAGCCGCAGTCCCATATATGCACACTTCCAGGAGTCACTTGGCGGCATTAGCACAATCCGGGCGTACCGACAGCAGAACCGTTTCGAGCTAGAAAACGAATGGCGTGTTGACTCGAACTTGCGAGCCTACTTCCCGTCCATCAGCTCAAACAGGTGGTTGGCGATCCGATTAGAGTTCCTCGGTGCCGTTATTATCCTCGGTGCAGCGGGATTCTCCATTATCTCCGTTACGAACCATAGCGGTTTGACCGCTGGAATGGTGGGCTTGGCTATGTCGTACGCTCTACAGATCACGACATCATTAAACTGGATCGTTCGCCAAACGGTGGAAGTGGAGACGAATATTGTATCTGTAGAACGAGTCCTCGAGTATGCACGCCTACCAAGCGAGGCCCCCGAGATTATCCCCGGACACAGACCTCCAGTCGCCTGGCCCGCGCATGGAGCTGTTAAGTTCCACAACTTCAGTACTCGCTATCGCCCGGGCTTAGACTTGGTACTGAAGAACATCAACTTGGATATCAAGTCTCATGAAAAAATAGGTGTGGTAGGACGAACCGGAGCTGGCAAGTCGTCGTTGACGTTGTCCCTTTTCCGTCTGATCGAGCCGGACACTGGTGACATAAGCATAGACGATCTCAACACGTCTACGATTGGATTATTAGACTTGAGACGACGTCTTGCCATTATTCCCCAAGACGCAGCTTTGTTTGAAGGTACTGTTCGGGACAATTTGGACCCAGGCCACGTTCACGACGATACCGAACTTTGGAGCGTTCTAGGTGAGTGTCGCATTAATCCTACCCACTCTGATTCGCGCCGCAGGGCGGAGAGAGCACATGCGCCCGCGTTACTCGGTCTAGGCCAGTCATCTCCCACCATCTCATTTGTACTAACATATCGTTTCTCATAGATCATGCACGATTAAAGGAGCACGTAGCAACCATGGAAGGCGGATTGGAGGCTAAGATCAATGAAGGAGGTACGTCGGTGATTTACGCTTTCTTTCGGCTCTTACTCCCCCGTCGATTACTTCTCCCTGTCCCTCCGGCAACTTACAGCTGTGCGTCCTCGTACGGCGGCAAGTGAGACACGTTTTTGGCATGTTGATAATCTACTGCCTACTTGCCTCTCCGCCAATTCTCAGCTAGGCCCCTGCATAATCGCCAGGGTTGTTTTTTTTTTTTTGCAAAACCTAGTAGTATTTCAGTCACTTAGCTACAGCTGTGATCACGTTGTCTTGTTTGATATGCTGAACTAACACGCTTGTTTACACAGGATCTAACTTGTCAGCGGGTCAACGACAGCTTATCTCTTTAGCACGTGCGATGCTCACACCGTCTAACATCCTCGTGCTGGATGAGGCGACAGCAGCCGTCGACGTGGAGACGGACGCCATGCTACAGAATACGTTACGCTCAGAGCTCTTCTCACACCGCACCATCATCACGGTTGCTCACCGCATTAACACCATCCTCGACAGCGACAGAGTAGTAGTCCTTGACAAGGGCGAGGTAGTCGAGTTTGATACACCGCAAGCGCTTATCAAGAAGCAAGGTGTGTTCTACGGCTTGGTCAAACAAGCTGGGTTAGATACCGAGTAGTCTACGCGTCATGTTGAGTGGACTGTTTGTAGTTTTTTCGGGTTATCACATACCCCAAGTGAGCATTGAGTTATTATAAAAATTGAATCAACCATCCAGTCAAAAGTAGGTATTGTAGGAGCATAGCTTGTATATAGAATACGTTAGAAAAGCAATAGCAGACTAAAAGAATAATTAAAGGGGAATTATTCAGAGTAGTGTAGTCTAGGTCAGAAATGTTTCCGAGTACACGAGATTTAACCGTAGGCCTACCGATAATTCTATTCGATATGAGTCGGTATCTAGACCAACGTATAGCAGCAGATATCTCGGTGATAGTTGACCTATTCGGGGTTCAACATGACGTATTAGATCGTCATAGTTGCTTTCAAAGATACGAAAGGAGGAATGCATAACGCTGCACGCTACGAACACATCTCGCACAATACGATCTGATTCCTTCCTCCTCGAATCCGGCAGCAACTAGGTGGACCAATGGCGTGAGATAGCGAAGGAGATTGATAGCTGCGTTTGTCTAGGCGATGTCGCAACGGGGCTGGTTAGGTAGGCTAGCTCTGGCTGATCGGCGTTTGCCCACTTTCTTGCTACTCTGGCTGATGATGATGACGACGATGATGCCTTACTTACTATCTCGTCTTTTTTTTTCTCTCCGCTCTGTTCCCTTTTCCCGCATCTTACCGCGCCAGCTCTGTGCGTCTGCTTGCATGCCGTCTTCCTATCTGGCCGCGGCATGTATTACCATGGTTTCTCGGGGGAGGGCTTGGCGGGGACGAAAGTAGGCGTCCACTCCTCGACCTTTTTTTCTTTTTCTTTTTTTTTTCTTTGCGACTATGTGTAGGTACCTAGGTATGTAGGTACTACTTGTTCACAAAGTCAGATAAGCAACGGGATCAGTTAGGTAGTTCTCTGGCTATGTAGAGGATCTGAGCATGGCGCGGTGTTTCCGTCGCGCAGGGTAGTAGAAGACGGTGAGGGAGAGTAGCGGAATAAGCGAATTCTTTCAACGGTTATGCATTATCGTATTTCCTTTATGTCTTCTGTATTTCCTTCTTGGTCGTTTGCCCTATGTTGTGTCTAAAACCTCGAGTTCGAAATAACTTGATATGAGGTTGATGTAGTACGTGCAGTGTAGGTGACGCGTAAGAGTTGGCGTTACTGGTATACTGGTATACTAGTATATTGGTATATTGGTAGTTTGGATATGTACTTGCCGGTCGTTTAGATTATTTACCGTATCTAGTACCTACCTCCAGTTCATCTATTCCATTCATCGTATACCTGGTTGATTGGTACTTAGGAGAATACTCTTAAGGGGAAGGATTCGATGGAGCAAAATACTAATAGATGAGCCGTTTTTAGCGACGTTACACTACCTATGCCGTCCGCACATGGCTAACCTTATTCAGCTTGCTACCTATAACCGAGTACATATTTGTATATAAGACTTAGATATATACATAGAATATACATCGATATACATGAATGTGGGTAAAATATTAGGTCAATTTTCTCGTCGGGGACAGCAATGACCGCCGCAGCAGCACGTCCGTTGCGGGGAGGCGAGTGGGGAAGATATTCTTTATGATAGTTAATCTTAGAATGGTAACTTACATATACCTTTCTTACCTATTTTGTCCGTTTGCTATATACCTACATCTGCATAGGTAGGTAGTCTATACCTATAAGTAATCTATATACCAATTTCCAGGCTACGAGTCTAAGGTATGTAAGATATGTATATGCTTACACACTTATACATGGATCTACTACTTAATGTGTATAATATATGCAAGGTATAGGTAGGTAGCTGATGGTGGCATCTCTTGTCTATTTGGTATCTTTCGCTCCCCAAGATTTTGTTAAAATAAAAAGTGCTTGGCGCAAAGTGCTGCCCTCGAAATCACATCTCAATCGAGATCCGCGATACAAGCTTCCGTTGATAGGTGATAGGATTAAGTACCCATGATTTATTTTTTACGGTTATGATTGCCCTACTCTCTCGCCTTCTCGAAGACTTGTAGTTTCACTAATGCTCCTCTTTCTCGGATCGACCTGCAGCAATTACATTTACCAACTCCACTGTAAAGTTACATGTATACCTACCTTCTACCTGTATATCATAGACATGTAGACATGTATACATGTAGGCGTGTATGCGTGTAGGCTTGTAGACGAGAGGGGAAACAATATGGCTGACTGATCCGTTGTTGGCTTAACACTTAGTACATAGTAACCATGTGCTCGCTTCCCAGCGTCATCTCAGACACGGGGTCATGCAACCGTGGTCCAAAACGGACTGGCAAAGTCTAGGCAAGCTACCAAGGATATAAACGACAGACATACAGCATGCGGTCCATCTGTCGTGTAACGTCAAGGGTTCCCGAAAAAGAGGAGGGGGGACCCCTTGTCGACGCCACTTATACTGCAGCCCTCGACTGGTTGGGACTGGTCGAGAGAGGCTGGAGTGGGAAAGGAAAGAAAGGCATGGAAGGAAAAATCGAAGATGAGAAGGGGACAGCCAAGAAGGAGAAGGGGAGAAAGCTGGACAATTCCATATTCGATGGACACCTAAACGGCCTGCGCTCGGATAAGATGGATTAGGTATAAAGTAATAAAGTAGCCATTCTTCACTATTTAGTACGTAGGCGCTGCTGGCGATTTATTAGATACAGTAATACAAGAGAGTTGAAGTACGTACACGTATACAGAGTAGTATTATGCAGTGAGAGAATCTTCATCCGCCCAATGTCGAAGACGGTGATGTGTGCATACATGGCATGTAACACATGCCCTTATTGCTTCGGCGCGGCCTTGGGCGACAAGATCTGGACACGCTCTCGCAATAGAGGAAAGGATCAAAGCCGTAATCCGGTTTCCAGGTTAGTCCAACGATGAAAGAAGGTATATCAATCCTTTCGCTATACGCAACCTTTACCTATTACCTACCTAACTAACACAAGTTCGACATCATGTTAAATGACAGCCACCGGACGAATTAATAATATGTATGCATGACAATTACCTATAGTCGGAAATAAGCTGTTTAGGTCATACCTTAGGTAGGTTATTTATTAACTAGGTATATTTTTTGATACGTGATCTCGGTCTCTAAGTCCTTTAATGAATGCTCGCCTAGCACCTTTGAATATCCTAGTCAAATAAGCTATAAGAAGCGACAAAATGAATTGGGGTAATAGTTGGTTACATTAGGGATTCGAAATCTACTGCCATCATGGGAAGGAGTTTGGTTTTGGTCCCTTGGACCGGCTCAGGGTCGGATACTTGGATCTTCTCACATACATTACCGATCTAATGCGAGAAGTCACAAGAAGACCCCTGCAGGATCTAGGCAATTCCCTGTTAAGCACGTTTGGCCAAGTACTGTCCTCCACTAGACCAGTAGCCTTACGGATTAGGTCCAAAGTAAACGTTTTCCCGACTGTGGCGTCTCTGGGACACACACTACTTGGAGCCCAGTGGAGTGGTTGAACGCCACGGCTGCTGACACCTGCGGCATATGCTAGAGAGCAAGGAAATTCTTCATCGTCATTAGCTGTCATTAGCTGTCATGTTCACTAGTATTGTTCACTAGTACTGTTCGCATTGACTCGATAGTTCGTTGTCAGCGGCCAACTTCCTGTAGATAGGAGTGGACAACGACCTAATTAAGAAAGACTTATGGTAAAAAAGTAGAAAGATCATCTTTTTACTCTTTTTCGCCGGTCATAATCCTGGCCCACTACGTTGAAGAACATATGTAACGTTGCGGAAAAAAAGAACCCATGTGATGCTAGGGATTTGCAATCCAATGTTTTTGCGCGTTGGATAAGGGTTTCGTTTCCAAACTAATGTTGGTTCTGGAGTTTATACGTGACCGTTTCCCCCCTATCCACTTCGCCTGGAAATTCGGATGAGAAAAAAGGAACTAAAGTCCGAAAGGGATGTTCTTGGTTGGGCGAGAGATCGACCCGATACTTCGGTAGACAGGCGGGGCCATGGATCGATCGTATCATCAGGCATTTATTGCACACAAAAGGCGCCGGGGAAGTAGACCCTAAGGCAATAGTTAAAAAGGTTGTTAGATTACAATACAAAGAATTGGTAGCTAAAGAGGGCTACTTGTCAGCGCCCCTTTACGAGTTGCGAGGAATATGCTGGCAAACAGCCAATTGGATTTGAACCGTGTTAAGATATTCCAACTTATTCTTGAAGGGGGCGTACAAACAGTCGACACTAATGAAAAACTAAATGATTACCCTCCGGTCGATAAGCTTCTAGAGTAAGCTATGAACGAACTAGAACCCGAGCCAAAGGTTCTTGGAAGCATTTCAGGTAATCAATGTAGTAGTGGTAGTCATGGGGGAGTTATGAAAGTCTGGAACTCCAATGAACGTATGGACATGTAGGACTCTATCAAGGCGAATAGGTCTTTAAAAAAACCACAGACGGTTACAACGCTGTGACGGTTTCACGTAAACAAGACATGTTTTCCCACCTTTAGCATTACATCTAACGCAAGCCATTCACAAGCTAATAAGAAAGACAGGATGGAGGTAATCGTGTCGCAAGCAACGATCTGCGAGGTCCGGCATGCCGTTGAGACATGCTAAAGTGCCGCTGGAATCATTCCGGACACCTGGTCCTTGTTGAATAATCGATACTTACGTAGGAAATACAGCCCGTATGGCGCCATTCATTTCGCATGCTGACACAGACGTCCCTACCCACGGCAGAGTAATTACTAGAATAGATAGAGAAGACGATCGAGATCGCGCCGACATAGTACTAGTTGATTGTGCATAACAGGGCGAGAAGCCTCCTTGGTCTTTGGTAGGCCTTCCAACAAATCGTTCCCGCCGGCTCACCCAAAAATCTACCAGTTCCGAGTGAAATGCTTACGGTTGTCGGCCCGAAGCACGTGTAGATGGGATCGGGGCTCTAAGCGAGCAAGGCAGAATAATAATTAAGAGTAATCGGACCCGTTGATCTCCAAATTATTA